CTTTTGAAGTAGAAAAATTTATGTTTTAAAAAAAAAAATTTTATGAAAAACAAATCTGTTTAATTTATTAGATTCATAATTAACGTATTAATCATAGATAAAATTACCTAGATATGGGTAAATGCAATTTTACGAAAAAGGTGCTCAAAATAATTTTAAACAACTTGAAAAATTTTTACGTTTTTTTTTTTTTTCACTTATCTAATCTTCCCCTATTTTTATTTAGTGGGATAGATTAACCGAATCAAAGTCCACAACATTATTTGCCTTAATATCAACAGTCCAGACAATTGCATTAGTAATTTTACAAGCAAAAATTTTCGCTCGTAATATTGATGGGTGGTTCAATCTTCATCCAGGACCAGATGAATATACAGAAGCCGAAGTTTGCTTAAATCCGGGTTCCTTCAAAGCATTTGTTTTACTTGCATTTGAAAATATTATGTTTATTTGCTTTTATGTATTTCAATTGTATTTTTCTTATAATGCGGTAATGTACCTTGCTTTTATTTATTTTATTTCATTTTTGATGGTTTTTTAATGACTTTAATTGTTTTTTTTTTTAGATATTACACCAAAATACGATGCAAATTTTCACGATTGCAATATCCAATTTTTGCTACGCAGTTCTTGGAGTCGTAAGCACAATTTTTATACCGCAGTAAATTATTTCACGTTATACGAAACGCTAATCAACAAGTATAAACCTCTCTCTCTCATTTAAGGTCCAATTGCTTGAAGCCCAAGAAACAAGCAACCGAGTTTTAAATGAATGCCCCACGATAGTTATGGATCCCGAATTTATGGTACATGAAGTACCACACATTATACTAATTACGATTTTAGCATGTATCACGGGATATCTATCATTCAAGTTATATAAACAATTTGGTTGGAACATTTACCAAAGAATTGGTACGGATGTTAAATTGCAATGTAAGTTATCCTATTTACGTCTCGGGGATAATCTTTGATACAATCACCATCAATCAATCACTAATTAGACCTTTTTCCTGATCTTTAGCAATTTATAAAGCTCGTTTAATTTTTGTAATGTTATTAAAACTTGACTTATTGATGATGTTGTTATTCAGTATCTTAATTATACCTTATTATATGGTTGAATTTACTAGTTCTGGTGCCTCTTATAAAGGGGTAGTTTATATGGGTATTACTTTTTTTGCTCTAGTATTTTTATTTGAATCTGTGGCCTTTAAATCGGTAAGCAAATTACTGATGTTATTCTTAATTCATTTTGACGCTAGCTAACTTTTATCTCCTTGTTGAAATAGATTGCCAAAGAACATAAAGCCGGAATGATTGCCTTTTTATCATTTTGGATTCTTGTTATGATCACTTATGTTTGGTTTTGTTATATCGGAATTTCTTTGGTGTCCATTTATAAATGGTATATTGGTTCGATCTTTGGTAAGTTAATTAAAAAGCCTTATTCCTTGAATGACATCATTCTCAAATTCATCAACTAAACTGATTACTCGTTTTAAGGCGTTACCTGTTTACTTATGGGCGCGGTAAGTGAAAAACTTGATCACGAAGCTCAATGCTTTTTATATTTAATCTTCTAATTTTTTATCATGTATATATATATTTTTTTTATAGTTAACCTTTGTAATTGGAATAGTGGTTATGAGAAATTTTGGAAAAGGATTAAAGGAACACCGTAAGTTGCATTCCCCCCCCCTTTTTTTATAATCATGTAAAATTTTACTTTAATATATATATTTTGTTTTTTTTTTTTGGATAGTCGATAAGATTGGATTTCAAGAGGAAGAAGCATTTGATAATAGCAATGATAAACGTGATATGGAAGTTGGTAGTCGAAGAAATTAATGATTGGGTTTATATGTATAAATTTATAAATTTAAAATGTTATGATAATCTTTTTTTTTGTATTTTTAAATAATGTTATGGGAACAAAGTAATAAAGAGAATCTTTTAAATTTCATAAGTAAGAAGGTAAAACATCAAACAACATTCAATATATGAGAGAGGAAGTGAAAAAATAAAAATGATAAAATTTTATTTAAAAAAAAAAAATTACGATAACCTTCTTTCAATCGATAAAACGTTTCCTTTGCACCTTCGTCAAATGTTTTGATATTTTGAACCGGAAGCTTTCGGTGTTTTCTCATTCCTTTCTTTATCAACTATGGGTTTATAAAATGTGGTAAGTTTTACTTTGAAAGAATTTGGTGTCGGTTAAAAAAATTTAGCATACTCACGATATTCTTTTAACCCGCGTCCAAAACCTTTGCGAACATATACAGCAAATATGAAGGTACCCTAAACAAAAAAAAAAAAAAATTTTCATAAAGATTACCGGAAAAAAAAAATAATAGTAATAACTTACCAATGCAAACGAACAACAAATAATTCCTAAATCAAATCAAATGATTAATTAATATTTTTAAAAAAAAAGAAGAAAAAAGAAACAGTTATTACATACCAACAACGAATCCGATATACCAATAAGTCGTCAATGATGCATTTATTACCCCATAATACAAACCAGCGAAATTTAACAAGGCAAATATCCAAAAAATTATAAACGAAGTCATCCCGGCTTTCCATTCCTTTTTGATCTAACAAAAAATCATGATCATTTTTTTTTTTTTTTTTAAAAAAAAAAAAAGGAAAGAAAAGATCATTAATTACGAAATCACTCACTGATCTATATGCTAATGCTTCAAAGAAAAATACCAAGATCAAAATAGCAGAACTAGCGAATATCAGGAATTTTTGACCCATGTTTTTATATTTATACATTATATAAAACGTTGGTAAAACTAATCCTGAAAATAATATCATGAGAAGCAAATCCAATTTTAATAGCATTACAAATATAAGTCGAGTTCTATATAATTCTACAAAAAATAAATGAATAAATGAATAAAATTATTACATCGAGTTTAAGCGATTTTAAAAAAGGAACTTACTTTGCATTGATCTGTCAAATCCATACTTTTTATAAATTTTCCAACCGAATCGACGATATAAATTAAATGATAAATATCCCATGACAATTCCTAATAATGACACAACTACAATGAATGATATTTCATATGTCATAATTTTCGGATCAAATTGAAGTTCGGGACAGAGTTCTCCAAGTTTGCTATCTACATTCTTAACTTCAATCGCTTGCATCTATAAAGAAATTTTCACGCGAGAGTATTAAGAATAGCTCTGATTTTTTTAATTGATCATTCGTACACTTGTAAAAAAAAAAAAAAATAATAATAATAATAATATTTTTACAATTCCAATTAAAACGAATACAAAATTCATCGATGTGATGGTCATAATTTGCATCGTATCCTGATGGAAGATCTAATTTAAGAAAATAGTTATCTTATTTCATATAATGGAACCGAATATTGTTAAAGACAAAAAAAAAAAAAAAAAGGTTTCCCGGACATTACCGCATTGAAACAAAAGTAAATCTGAAAAAAATAAAACAAAATGAACATCACATTTTCCAGAATTATCGTAAAAAATGAAAGGAATGGACCATTATAACAAGATTCAGTTAATTGGTTCGTTTTATTTAATTCCATTATGATATTAATACTTTCAGAATTTCGTTCAAATATACGAAACTGAAGGTAAATTAAAACTAGAGCTTGAATTATGGAGACAAGCACGAAAAAAAACGTTGATTTTGATTCGGAAATTCTTTTCCACTATTAAAAAGTAAAAAAGCTGCAATTAATATAAAAGTGATTTACAACTTAAGTTGCAACCTTTCGATATCATCTTTATTTGCTCACCTTTTTCGCAACATTTCTTATAAAACTCATGATTAAAAAAAAATCTTTCGAAATTTATAAAGCGTATGTAGAACGAGAATTCTTAACAGCAAATCAAGGGTATATATGTGCTGACAACACGTAAAGTACTTGTTTCCAATTTACTAATTCATCATTCCCGTTATTATTAAAATTGTAAAAGCCATCTTTAAAAAATGAAATCTCATTTAACCCGGTTTCGAACGTGTTTATACGAAATATTCAGATTACGGGAGCAATCTATGATTTGGACATTTTATTATTTTTATTGATCTCCTTTATCTTGTTGTTCCATTTTTAAATGATTACGTTTTAATCATCGAAAAACGATTTCCGTCTTACGTTCCCCGCGATGTGCCTCTTACTAAAAAATTTTCTTTTATGAAATAATAATTAACTACCCATTTTATTGTATCAATATTAGTCTAAAAATCTATTTTGGTTATCGTATTCATGTTGGCAAACAATATTTATGAACACAATTTGGGTATAAATTGTGGCTTATGCTTATAATAAATAATAATCAATGAATTTTGTAATATTTTATGTTAATGTATATATAATTGTTTATGTATATATTCTTTTTTTTTTGATAATCTAATGTGTATATAATAACTAATAAACTAGTATATAATAAATAAAAGTACTTTTGGTGATTAAAAGAAATAAAATAAAACCTATCATTAATTTTTTTTTTCTAAAGATTATATAAAAATTATTCTTTGGGTATCGATTTCTTGATATTACTTTCACCAAACAAGAATTTGCCCATACTCTTGATGGTATTCTCATAAGCGCGATCTCTACTTAATAATTTGGACATTGCATAATCATGGAAATTGGTATCCTCTATAACGTATTCAACCTTCACTTCTTTCACCATTAATTTTTCTACAAATAATGTAATATCGTCTAAGAAGACTTCATAACCACCAACGCAAGCCCACACTCTGGGCAATTCTGAAAGTTGATTTTCAAATAGAGGTGAAATCATTGGACAAGTTGGAAGTAGATTTGAGTCACCTAAATATGCATCTACGCAACTATGTAACCAGGTCGTATCTATTGTATCGTAAGAAGCATTGTTACGGTATGATTTCGTATTTGTTACGGCCTAAGACATTAATCAGAGAGAATGAAAGAATTTTAATAAAAGCAAGAAAGATGAGGGGATAAATAGATAGATATATTATAGCTTACGGATAAGAACGGAGATATAAGGAGAAGAGCGGAAGGCGGTTTTTCAATCGAATAACTGTATGATTGGTTAATAAGTTGTAAGGCACTTACTAGAGCCAAATTTCCACCCGCACTATCACCAGCTAAGAAATAAATAATTTATTTAAAAATCAAAATTAATAAAAATAACAAATAAAAAAAAAAAAAAAGGTTGGACATACCAAAAATGATTTTAGATGGACTAATTCCTTTCACGTCGACAAGCCATTGATAGCATAACAACATACTTTCCCTAGCAACCGGGATCGAATTCTCGGGCGATAATCCTGATAAACAAGTTTGATTTGATAAATCCCCATTATAAATACTTTATAACATAAAAAAAGATATAATTAGCTTACCATATTCTAGAGACAAGATGTGAGTATTGACACCATGATTTATCTTCCACCCCTTAATCCAATCGACAAATGTAACCAAAGTTGTCAATGCGCCACCGCAAACATAGCCCCCGCCTATTTTTATTAAAAGGAATAATCGTCAGTACTACATACAAAATGGCGCAGAAAATCCTGCATCAAGAACTTTTTTCCCTTGATCACCTTACTCACCATGAGCGTATAAGATAACCGAATCAGCGTCTTTTCCAATTTCAGAATTTTCAACATCATCGGCGATTAGGTAACCCTCCCATCCATCTTGTTCGTTCGTCGTTTCCAATTTCTTTACCCAACGTTTTTGTTGTTTTTCCTGATAGAGACCATAAACAACCTGTTCAAAAGTTGCAGCGGAATTAACCACGATCCTTAATAGCCAAGTTGGAAGATAAGTTGTGATGGTCCTTATAATGACGGCAACTAACCGTTGAAATAAAGTTGGTGATTTGTGGTCTTTTATAATGAAAAGAGATACGAAACATGCGAGAAATACTAGTGGAATCTTGAATGCTATAAATGTAAAACGGTAGGTAATTAATTAGTAAAGGGACGGACGAATTAAATTCAATGATAATTTGATGCTTTACCCAAGATGAAGGCACAACAAAACACGGCCAGGATTGAATTCATAATATCAGAAAATTTTTTCATTTTTTCACTATTTCTGAAAAGGCAATTAAAATATTTTAATGAACGTGAAAAAAAAAAAAAACTCGAAATAAACAACCATATCATATATTTATATCTAAAAATTAATTTATATTATAAAAATTTTATTAAATTAAAAATATATTTTTTTTTTCAATGGAAATCTGCGTGAGTGCGGATTTTGTGAAGCTGTCATTTTTTCATTCTGCGCATCATATGAAAAATCCTACCATTAAGCATTTCATCCCACATGTGCAAATAACCAATGATATGAGAAGCGATCCTTTTGGGCAAAAAGATATCGTCATTATCTCCTTGAAATCCCATGTCTGTTAAAAATTTGGAGATATAATAATAAAAGATCTACAACAAAAGAGAATGGGTTTACGTTTAATTTTGTTGGTGATCGAAACAAATTTTTCGAAATGTATTACGAAAATTAAATAATGAAAAGTTATTCAGTAGAACAAAACGAGTTTGGCGTACCTTAATATATTAAACGCATTGATATTATCGACACGTTTAATATTCCGCATAATAAAACCTGTTTGCAATTAAATACCTTGTCTGGTCTGTTCCCTTTGTTTGAGCGCGAAAAAAACGAAATTGTGAAACGTGTTTCATCTTTTTTTAAAAGATTACCATTCCAGATTATACAAATCATCTTTCATGTGTTAACCGGTATAAAGAAATTCAGGGAATTCAGGGACCTTATTGTCAAAGAATTTTAAAGTAAACAAATCATTTTAAGGATCCTTATTTATTTTTACCATTTTGGTAAAATTAAGCCGGCCCTTTGATTTTTTACTCGATCCGGAAATAAATATGGTAGATGATTAACAGAGCAAATAAAAAAAAATAATTCCCCAATAATATTTCGAAAATCAATTCAAAAACCGTAGTATAATCCGTAAGTCTTGAAAAAAATAATTATTTATTTTATCTATACATTTAAAAAAAAAAAAAAAAAATTAAATTAAATTTACTTTTTTTCACATAAAATTTCCAGTCTTAGCAAAATGTCCTAATAGTATTTCAATGAAAATTAAAAAAGAAAATACTTTATAAAGTTGGTTATTTACCAGAGGAAGAATTAAGTCCGCTGCGTTAAAAATTCCTTCCTCCAAAGTAATTCCTTTAATTAGATGAGCAACTTTAAAAAATTTCTTATCATTTAAGGACTTTGACATTTTATCATTAAACCGTTAATAATTATAAAACGATTATTTCAACTATTGAAACACAATTTTGGCATTATAAATAAAGTTTATGTTGCACCATTTCCTTAAATGGATAATTGTTTTGCATTTTGAATTCCTGCGACAAAACATAATATTGTTAAATCATCATCAAAACGAAGATTGAAATTCTTAATTAATAACCCAAGGCATAGTGATGTGAGAAAATAGAAAGAAATTATACGATTGCAGAGCAAATTTTAGCGGCAAGATTGATAGATTGACAGATGACTTTATCGGAGAAAGTTATTAAAAAGCAAAATTTTTCAAATTTAAATCTTCTGGAGGAACTTTTACCCAAGATAATCTTTGATTACTTTCAATTATCGGACTTTCAAATTTTATTACGAGAACTGTTCAAAATTACTTTAGAAGAAATAATTATAAATTCATTAACAGAAGTTAATCCGTATTGATTATCTTCATCTTTTTCACATGGAAATAAAAGATTCCCAATTTTCGGCACAATTCCATTTTAGTAGCAACTCTGATTGAGAAATTTGATAGTGTGCTTATCATATTGACTCCATTGTTTTAGAACCTGAGATATTTTTGAATTATTGAAAACATTGTGGGGTAGCTTTGCAGGTATATACTTGCAGGAATTCAATGCACCGCATGATTATTGAATTCATTGTGCAACTTATCATCTGGGGAAGCAATAAGTTAATATCAAATTTAGATATGAATAAATATCCGTTGTATCAGAATGTAATCTGTCGTTTCGTTATGTTATCCTCAGTTTCGAATAGAATTTGAATTTGAAATCTGTCCTTTAATAAAATTCTACATTATTAATGAATTCAAACGTATTTGTAAATTCGAGTAATTTAATAGTCATTTTCATATAAGATTACTTGAAATTTGAAAAAAAAATGAATTATACACGTAAATAAATGAATATTTCTGTTTTTTTTTTATTAATTTTTAGTTATTATATTCTTTGCATTTGAGATGATTACCCTTACATTGCACGTTATATTTAAGAATTTGTTTTTGGTATAAGATGTTCA